GAGATGGTGCAGTGGGAAGGTAGAGGGAATCTTTGGCATTGATGATATCATGTGACTGCTGCGCCAACCCTGGACTCCCTAGCTCTGGATTTATTATTTGTGAACAAGAACACTTATTTGTTTAAACCACTATTTTCAGGTTCCTATTATATGCAAACCAAGCCTAATGGATTTTTATACATTTTAAATGTTAATTCATGAAATAACCCCCTGAGGTTGCCCCCAACGATTTTGGTTCTTTATCATTCTTTCCCATTTGAGTACATGGTGCTAGTATCTACCCAGTTGCTCGGAGTCAAGTCTTGGAAGCTTTGAAAAATGATGGACACGTCTCATGCCTGCAGTTGAGCTCCCATTGGAAGAGTCCCAAAGGATGAAGAACAGGGAAGTGTGAGATTCTGAAGGGCATTAGCCATACTAAGTTGATTAAATCTATTCTGGATAAACTTTTAAACAATCCTCAGCAGGGGAGAGACATGATCAGATTTGCATATTAGGATGATTCCTAGAGGTATCAGATGGAAAATAGATGGCAGGAAGGGTCAGAGCAAGTCTGGATGCAGAGAGACTCTTTAGGAGGCTCTTCTGACTATCCACAGAGGAAATCAACTAAGGTAGTAGAACTGGAGAGGAAGGTGAAGTACTTGCAAGGAATAATTGGGAGGACTTAGTGACCCGCTAGACGTGGGAGATGAAGCACTGGGAAGGTTCTAGGGTGATTTTCGTAGGGGACTTGGTGGAGAATGATGCTACCACTGAGATGAGGAATACAGGAAAATGAATAAATTTGGGAGAGGTAGATGGAAGAAGTTAATTAGTTTATTTTGTAATTTTTTATCCACCCTGGGGACAGTCTAGTCTCTGAACAGTGTTAACAGTAAGGAGTAGAAAGTGAATTTAACTGAGAAGACTGTGCTCACTGAAATGCATACTACTGGGTGCTCATAAACTCACCCCAGTCCATTCCACAGCTATTTGGGAAGTTAATATGCCGACTAAAAGTTATTCTTCAACAAATTCTTACTTGTAATATAAAAGTTAGTTAACAGCTATCTTAGGTCAATAGAGAAGCATGAATTGTGTTGACATAACCTCAGTCATAAAGATAAAGCATTTCTCAAATTAAAAGTTATGCTAGCAAAAATATGATTTGATACAAACAGGATGACTGCTGTATAAGTGCCCTGAAAAACATCTATGCCATAAAGTGAGGCATGTTTCTATTAAGAGTAGTGTCCATCTTTTGATCTGTGGTGAGACTAAACCTAAGGAATGATCTAACTCAAATTAGAGTTGATCAGAAAACAAGCACATAGAACAGAGTGGCTAGTTGTACCTGTGCATATCTTATATCTTAGCTAGTAGTCTACCAACTCCTTGAGGGGTAGAAACCATGTTGTACAGAGCTGTGCACTCCCCCAGTACCTGGCACAGTGTTCTGAGAAAAACAGATGTTTCATAATATTTTTTAGTAAAAGAAAGAAAGCAGCCGGGCACGGTAGCTCACGCCTATAATCCTAGCACTTTGGGCGGCTGAGGCAGGCACATCACCTGAGGTCAGGAGTTTGAGACCAGCCTGGCCAACATGGCGAAACCCTGTCTCTACTAAAAATACAAAAAATCACCCGGACATGGTGGCAGGCGCCTGCAGTCCCAGCTACTCGGGAGGCTGAGGCAGGAGAATCACTTGAACCCGGAGGTGGAGGCTGCAGTGAGCCGAGATTGCGCCATTGTACTCCAGCCTGGGCGACAAGAGGGAAACTCCATCTCAAAAAGAGAAAAAAAGGAAGACGTGGTAAAAAGCAAATATGTGGAGGCATATTATATCTACAGTGGTAGCTATGATGATGTCAACAAAGGCAAAAACAATAAGGACCTAACCTAGCATGTTATGACTGCATACGTTGTGTGCAATATATTATAAATCAGCAAAATTTAAACACTGAAAATTCGGGTGAAGTGTCTTGAGTTCTTATCTCTGGCATCCCATCTATGACAAGCCATAGCAGAAGTTAAGTATGTCTGCTACTTCGGATCATAAATATCTGATGTCTTCTGGCAAAAGATATTTAATCACTTTCTTTCAACAAATATTACTAGCAACATTACATGTTTTGAACTAGAACTTTATGTATTACCGTAAACATAGTTGCTTGAAAACGTAGTAGTGAATTTCCTAAAAAGCTAACAATTATGTAAACAAGCATAGCGGCCAAACACTAACTCAGTGCAAAGGATTATTAAATCTGTTTCTTTCAGGGTATGATTTGAAAACAAAACCCTTTTCTATGTATTGTCTCGGTCTGTATACATTTGAAAAGAAAAACTGAATAATCTGATGCTTAAGAAAGTTTATAAAAGAGCAAGTGAATGTCCAGTTCAGATAATTGTGTAATTCACAATGCAGTATAATTAAAAGTGAAAGTGATCTTATTCAACATAGCGACTGCACGTATGGACGTGAATTATCGTCTGCATATACATAGATGTGTTCTCTTTCACACACCTACCACTTTTCACACAACAGACATACATATGCAATACAAAACAGAGTCTTACCCCAGATTTTCAAGGTCAAAAATGCGATTCAGGTCGCAGTCAATATATCTGGCACATTTCTTCACTGCTCTGGGGTTAGCGATAAATGGTTTTACCTCCAGCCCTGTTCTCTGAATCTCAGCGCCATTCTCTAGCCAGTGCTTAACCAGAAATACTCCAGTTAGCTCATTCCCATGGGTTCCTCCAAAGATAGCAACCTTTTTTATAGGTTCTTCAGCAATGTGACAAGAAGTCATTTCACCAAGTAGTTTTTTATCTGGTTTCTGCAATTCAGAAGAGAGATCAAAGGAAATGTGATTTTTCTTAAGAAAGGTTTAGAAATTTAAATCAAAATGAGACTTTACCCAAAGGGCAAAGTACAGAATTCCCTTGAGTGGAGTATATTTTAATTTTCTGTTACAAGTTCTGAGCCCCGTTTATGGACACTGCCTTCTTTAGCCCTGCCCTTTACCATATTTGGATTAAAATATGCAAAGATCAACTAGAGATACAGCTGTTTACTTTAACTTCTAACTCCCTCAGATGGTCAGTAGATCTAAATACAGTAATAAATTCGCATTTCATTCTAATGCAAAAATTCTGTTCTTTTCCTCAGCTAGGATGTTGTCCAGTGAGGCTTTCACAATTATCTGTCATAATAAAAAAAGTTTATACATTTCTAATCTCAAAAAATAAAAAAAGTGGCCCACTCAGTATTTCCATGGGCATTTCAAAACCTTTCTTCTCTGAAATGAGTTCAAGCGTGTTTCATGATCTGAGGGCATTTGAATCTCACCTCTATGAACAGCCAAAGGCTGACCCTCAGAGACCTCCTCTTGAACCGGCACCCGTTCTTTCAGAATGCTTTTTCACAGTCAGAAACAGAAGGGCCAAATCAGTAATCACTTGGGACTTGAAAAACTACCCTGAAACATCCCTTCATTTCTTTCTCATGAAATTTTTGGTAACTCTGTGTTAACTTACTTATGAATCTTCCTTACTTTTTTGCCTAAATTCCAAAGGAAAGACAACTGTTAGTAATTTTCAAGTCTTTGTGATGCCTGCAAATGTCTTGGGACACACTGCGTGTGCTAGCCGCATCATGTGAACTCATAGACACGGCCTAATTCACTGTCAGCAGGGACTCTCCACTGGACTGTGTTACTCAAAAGGGGGTCTTATTAGGGGAAATTATCCAGAATACTAAGATGATTACATCCCTTTGGAGAAATGACTCTGAGCCAAATCTGATTTGATTTCATGCTCAATCACCCAGAAAGTCAAATATGTTCAAGTACTGGAAATACCATGTACTAGTAATGCCAGGTTGTGTGATAGAGGGTACAATAAGAGTAATTGGTTACAATTGCGCAGCAGTTTAATTTATAATGTTCTTCCACTCCATTTATTCGTACATTAATTTTATACGATAGGGTGGGTTAGGTGTTGACATCCCCACTGCAGGGGTAAATGAAAGAGAGGTTGGCCGGGCGCGGTGGCTCAAGCCTGTAATCCCAGCACTTTGGGAGGCCGAGATGGGCGGATCACGAGGTCAGGAGATCGAG